GGGGGGCACCTCAATCCCACTCCCAGTCCCAATCCCAATTCCATTCCCTGGTTGATACAGTCCCTGCTGGTTCCCAGCCGGAATCCTGCCTGGCACTCCCTGTGCCCACCCCAATCCCTGTGTCCCCGTGCCCACCCCAATCCCATTCTCAGATCCCACTCCAGTCCCATTCCCACCCCAGTCCCATTCCCAGATCCCACCCCAATCCCATTCCCACCCCAATCCCTGTGCCCCCGTGCCCACCCCAATCCCATTCTCACCCCAATCCCAGTCCCAGATCCCACCCCAATCCCTTGTCCCTGTGCCCACCCCAATCCCATTCCCAGCTCCCACCCTGTGCCCTCACCGACACACTCCCCACCGGTTCTGGGCTGGAATCCCGCCTGGCACTCCCTGTGCCCACCCCATTCCCAATCCCACCCCATTCCCATCCCTCACCGACACACTCCCCGTCGGTGCCGGGCCGGAATCCCGCCTGGCACTCCCTGTGCCCACCCCGTGGCCACCCCAATCCCATTCCCACCCCATTCCCAATCCCATTCCCACCCCTCACCGACACACTCCCCGTCGGTGCCGGGCCGGAATCCCGCCTGGCACTGGGGTTGGCAGCGGTAGGAGCCGGGGATGTTGTGGCACCGCTGGGCCCCGCACAGCCCGGTGCCCCCGTACTCCTGGCACTCGTCCACGTCTGGGGGGTTCACACACACACACGGGGGGTGGCACAGGGGGTGTCCCGGGGGGGGGCACAGCGGGATGGGGATGCTGCAGGACCCCCTCTGGCTCCCAGTGCCCACCCCCCCTTTTCCGACACAGTCCCGGTGCCCACCCCCTTAGCCCCGTGCCCACCTTGGTCCCCCTGTGCCCATCCCAGTCTCTTTGCCCCATTCCCACCCCAGTCCCTGTGCCCACCCTGGTCCCCTCGTGCCCGTCCCTCTCCCAGTTCCCATCCCACTCCCTCCATCGCCAGCCTGGTCCCCGTGCCCCCGTGCCCATGCTGGCACCTCCATGCCCACCCCAATCCCAGATCCCACCCCCTGCCCTCACCAACACACTCCCCTTCAGTGCCCGCCTGGAATCCCGCCTGGAATTCTGCCTGGCACTCCCTGTGTCCCCGTGCCCACCCCAATCCCATTAACACCCTAATCCTATTCCCAGATGCCACCCTGTGCCCTCACCGACACAGTCGCAGCCCATTCCGGGCTGGAATCCCGCCTGGCACTCCCCGTGCCCACCCCAATCCCATTCCCATCCCTCACCGACACACTCCCCACTGGTGCCCGCCTGGAATCCCACCTGGCACTCCCTGTGCCCACCCCGTGCCCACCCCAATCCCATTCCCC